ACAGTCTGTCAACAACTCTTCGACCAGCTTCATGCAGATTTCTGAGGTCAGCAGTCAAAGGTCGCCTATCAGCGTTCATAACAACTTGTGCTGTGAACGCGGCAAAGAAGAAAAATAAATCGGATCGTTGAAAAACAAAACCAAGATGCTAATGTGATCGTTATTGGAGTATGTCGTTCGTGGTTTACGTGACCCTCTTACATACAAACCCGCGCGTTTTCGAATACAACGTTGTGTGAAAATTTGGAAACAATCGGTGAAGATATTTCGGAAATTAGCTATTACAACCAATGCAACTTTACATTTTTATTAATATAGAATTATAGTTACGAAAGAAAACATTTACCCACTGTTATATAGGATATATATATGCAATCGGTGAAGAATTTTCGGAGATTAGCTTTTACAACCAACGGTAACTTAAATTGTTAAAAATTAACTATCTGTACCCAGCCACGCGTTGCTGTGGCCCAGAGTGGTGAAATGGATAGGAAAGAAAATAGCTCTCAGCTAACAGTGTCTGTCATATCCCCCGCCCCCGTCCCCATATCATATCTCCCTACCCGAAGGATTGAAAAATCATCCATGGCGAAATTATTAATAAAAAATTGGTCCCCCCCTCCTCCACCAATCATATATCCCTTTCTGTAGAATTGAAAAATCATTACCTGGCGAAATTAATAAAACAGAAATGGTTAAGAAATGAGAACATTAAAATAATATTTTAAGCTCTCTTAGCTAACTGTGTCTGGCACAACCCCCCCCCCCCTATCCCGCGCCCCAAATCATATCTCTCTCTCCGAAGGATTGAAAAATCATCCACGGCGAAATTATTAAAATTATGATTTGACCGTTGCTGGAGCTATGTCGTTCGTGGCTTGTGCAATTTTCTGAAAAAAAAAAAATCACGCTTTGAGTCAAAGGCAACGTTGTGTTAAAATTTCAAAGCAATCGGTTTAGTAGTTTCCGAGTTTTTAGCTAACAACATCGGAAAATTAACATTTTTATTAAAATAGATGTAAATGGTATTGCTTGCTTGGCGATTCTCTGCTTATTTCTTCTCAATATGTGTCCAGTATAGCGCAATCTTTTTCTGTCTTTACCAGTGGTTGCTCACACATTTCTCTTATCTTCTACGTAACTCATATTTCTTATAGATGAATGACGTGGTCATCACCACACTAGCCATATGTAATCGTTAGTTTAAAAAAAAAATATCCGGCTCGATACGAATTCGAACTTAAGACCTTCGGGTTGGACAGCCTCTACACTAACATGGCTATCAAGAAGTTAATTCTTGGATCTGGAGGAGTGAATAATAATAATAAGAACTCCACAGGGAATCATGCACAGCAGGGGTCCACCGATCATCAGTAGAAAGATCCCTCGTCGACGAATGATTCGGCCCCTTACTGCCTATACAATCTTGGAAGGTGGGCCCGACCTGTGTTTTAACTCCATGCCATGATCTACCGTTGCTGCACTTTATCGGACGTATGGACAAAACGATATGGTTACTTGGCAACTGGTATTGTGAGATTTGGTGTCATATTATCTCCGCGGTAACAAATTAGCGACCATCATCATCATCATCATCATATAGCAGGCCCTTTGAAGAGCGTCGCTCTCATCACAGTCTACAAGAAAGAAACTCGGTCTCTCGCCAGTTCTCCCGCCTCATGAACTTTCACACTCAAGGAGTCACTTATATCCTGTGCTCATCTTCGTGTCGGTCGGCCCCTGTCTCTCCTTCCTGGTACCATGTATTCTGCTTTAATTAGCGACCACCTTCACGAAAATAATAGCTTAAAAAAAAAAGGGGGGGGGGGGAAGGGGGAAGATAACCGTTCTAGTTTAAGGTTCAGTTCTCTTTAATACGATCAATGAAACTGTTTGGATGAATGTTTCATTATTTCCTTTATGTTTACGGGAAGTGGAATTAGCTGTACTTAAAATCAATTGAAGGTTGCTCCTGTATCTGTATTTTTATGTAAGCGTATGTTGAGAATGCACTGCAGCCTTTCTTATTGTTTTCTGAAAACTCCGGAATTCAGAACTCTTCTTGGCTTCTTTCATGGTATTTCTGTTTTAAACTGCTGTCTTCGCTGATCTCAGGCAGATTTTGAAAAAAAGATTCTTGATTATTGCCGCGGCACCCCTGACATACTTACTTCTTATAGAGTATTCAGTATATCAGCCGGTTCCATAGCTAGTCCTTCATAGTAGCCTTAACTGCAGGCCTTTCCGCTTTGTCAGCCCTTACTGTCTCAGAGACACTAACCACTGTCTTTGAACCCAGCCCATCTCTATGTCCTAGCAACAGCTCTACAGATATATTGAATTATTTCTTTCTTGAAAGAAGTACCAGTATTCACCACAAAGTTTCCATAAAAAAAAGGGAGTTCCGATATTCACTTTGGCACTGTTGATTTGAAATATTACTGATACATTCTTTGAATACCATTGACCAATAGGAAGACAAACAGCGATATCCTACAAGATTTGAGCATCAAAGAGAACTGGCTCATAAACAGCATGCTCTCCTGAAAGCCAGGCTATTTTGGCCAGTTAAACGGTATGGTAGCTTGGGGTGCCTGAGTTATGAGTTAGATTATCTTCACAGCATTCCGGACACATCCACAGGCGCTCAGATTCCCCTCTCAACATATTCATCAGCGTCGTGCGGTTAATAGTGCCAGTCCTATGTTGGTTAATCAGACTTGTGTGCGTCCGGTGTGCTTCTCATGCTTGGCTGTGCCGATCTTTACTGCCAATTCGCGTATTCTTAGCAGTGATGTGGACACGTTGCTTCCAAAATCCTCAGGACGTCCTATCTCTCTAAGGGCAATGACAATGTCTGCGTGATCCATGGGCAGGCCATCTTCAATTAATGCAACACCTGCCAGTCTATCAGCTCTGTCATTACCAACAACGCCTGCCCAAGGACGAATATGAAGATAACTGCACACACAGGAGAGTTTTACAATGACTCAAACCACTGTCTACGTAACCGCCGGATCATGCTCAAAGACAGACTCAGCACACACACGCGGGTATAGTCCTGTGATTTTGTCACCGCCATCACCTCCATCGTCATGCTGCTGGAGGCCATGGAGAAGGTACCGCAGGCTTCTTGAGCTGTTCTGCCCGAAAAGCGAGTTGTAAATGTCCATGAACTCTTATGTCCTCGTATAACGGACCCGTCTGATAAAAAAAAACCACATCTGTCCCATCTGAATTGTCACTGATAAGCGCGCATACCTTGGCATTGACAGCAGCTGGATTCTGCTCCTGACAACTCCAATCGAGCGTCACGACACAGGAGAATGTGAGACTGTGTGCTTTAGACGCTGGTATCCATTCCTCACCTGTATGGCTGCAAACCTGCATGATGTCATCCTCTGCCCTACCCAGCCATGATTTGCCCCTTTTAAGCCTATTGCCCCTTTTCTAGAAAAGCATTTGGTGCAAAGAGTGCTAATGAATCGGGGACACGGCCACCATAATGTAATGTTGATTGATGCAACCACAATTAGAGATCTGATTTCTGGCTGCAGTTCATCATTGCAAACACTACATTTACAGCTAATGAATGACATGATCGAGTCATCGAATTTATACTACTTTGTTTCATTTATAGATCGGACATCTGTGTGTGTATCTGTGTGTCTGTGCGTGTGTATGTGTGTGTGTAAAAAAAAGCCGTGGGGGGGGGGGGGGGGGGAGAGATAAGTCAGTAACTACATATTATTTATTCCTAACTTGCTCCAGACATGTTTGCTAAAAGAATAAATTTGCAATTAATGTACAGTATGTGATAACACACACAATAAAACAGATTTAACCAGTGTGTGTTTGTTTGTTCATATTTGTCTATACAGTTATGTATTATTTGACAAGTTGCCGCAGACAGTTCTGTTATCGAATAGGTTATATGTATTTTCATTGGTTTTATTATTTTTTGACATTTATATATCTCATTGATGCATTTTACATGAGTTTTTTTTTTTTTTTACCTTTATAACGTAGGCATAAAAACGATATTGTTTTTAATAGTTCTCTCTCTCAAGCTCTCTTTCCCTCACACTCAAACACAAATATGCGCATGCGCACATGTACACAAATACATATACATAAAATTAGCTTACTCTGACATACAGAAGAGTATGTTTCATTTTTAGTAGGATACTGTTAACTAGAAATGAGTATTATGATTGTGTATGTCACATTTCACTGTTATTATTTATAAAACCCTATAATGTATTGTGAACAGTATCACAGCGATGATTACCATTGAAACGCTACTGTAGTTCCACTTCGTTAGGTCACGTCTGCAACATAAACTTCCTGTTACTCGTCAGACAATTTATAACAAAAAAGTCCCCAAGTCCAGAAACTAAAACTTGAAGACCCCTCACTCAAATCTGTATGCAAGACAGCAACTTAACGTGCCTCAGATGTTCTGTAAATGAGATTTTTGACTTTAAAAAAAAACCCCACTACGATCTGTAATGAATGACAATTTGAGGTTTACCGTGTGATATCTAGAATTCAATGCGCATGTGGCACCTGGAAGAAAAATGGAAAACAATAGTTTAGCCTTCAAACACAGATTCACTGGTGACTGCATAGAACAGAATGAATGATATTTTACGACACAACGACTAACATGGAACTTTCGGAGAGAACTAAATAGACTCTAAAGAATGACAATTTGAGGTTCACATCGTAAGTTCTAGAGTTCCATTATAGGGAAAAGAAATAACAAATTCACTGTCCCCTAACAATTATTCAATTAATCAATCGCCGTCTCCACAGTGAAGGTTGGCTGCAGATCTCCAATACGCTCTCTCTTGTCCAGGTTGTACACTCTCTCTTGTCCTGGTTCACATTCTCTCTTGTCCTGGTTGTACACTCTCTCTTGTCCTGGTTGTACACTCTCTCTTGTCCTGGTTGTACACTCTCTCTTGTCCTGGTTGTACACTCTCTCTTGTCCTGGTTCACATTCTCTCTTGTCCTGGTTGTACACTCTCTCTTGTCCTGGTTGTACAATCTCTCTTGTCCTGGTTGTACACTCTCTCTTGTCCTGGTTGTGCACCCTCTCTTGTCCTGGTTGTACACCCTCTCTTGTCCTGGTTGTACACTCTCTCTTGTCCTGGTTGTACACTCTCTCTTGTCCTGGTTGTACACACTCTCTTGTCCTGGTTGTACACTCTCTCTTGTCCTGGTTGTACACACTCTCTTGTCCTAGTTGTACACTCTCTCTTGTCCTGGTTGTACACTCTCTCTTGTCCTGGTTGTACACTCTCTCTTGTCCTGGTTGTACACTCTCTCTTGTCCTGGTTGTACACTCTCTCTTGTCCTGGTTGTACACTCTCTCTTGTCCTGGTTGTACACTCTCTCTTGTCCTGGTTGTACACTCTCTCTTGTCCAGGTTGTACACTCTCTCAGACTGCTGCCCGTCCATCTCTTACTGTTGTCCTTCCATTTGTATGTATCCCCCTAACAAGCATGCCGTAAAAGTCGACTGATTATGGAAGTGTCTGTCGAAGGCGGAGTGCATTTGCGGAAGTGGATATTTGACCTGAACTTTCCGCGTGAGTTCGAAGCCGTTGAGAGGTAATAAGAAAAGAATGATAATTTTTTTTTTCAAACATGAATTAACTGGTGTCTGCGTTGAACAGAAGGGATTATATGGTTCTGCGGAATCACTTACACAGAGCACTATATACACCCATCAAAGATGCAGAGGGCATTGGAGAGCGAGAAGCAACAATAAAATTCTAATCTGTTTAAATCAGAACTGATCGCTGACATCATGAGAGCTAATAGACCAATATAGCTGGTGTATAGTGAAAGAATTTCAGATGACAGAGAGGTAAAAAGTTTATACACAAGGGAGCTGAATGGTTGTAGACCACGAGGCAGACCAAGAAGACGATGGATAGATTATATCCAGACAGACCTGCAAACACTTAGTGACATCAACTGGAAAGAGAAGGCCAGCCAGAGAGATGAATGGAGGCGGGTTATTTCTGCAGCAATGAACCGCAAGGGCTTGGAATGCTGGAGAAGAAGAAGAGGCAGAAGAAGAAGAAAGAAGAAGAAGAAGAAGAAGAAGAAGAAGAAGAAGAAGAAGAAGAATTACTAAATACCCATCACACCTAAAGGCGTGGGAAACGACCTTGTTCTTTATTATTATTGTTACGCACTTAAACACATTTTAGGCTCCTTGAAAAGCCCCTTCCCTCAAATAATGTACAAAAAAGCTGGCTTCATTTCCAGGTTATTGTGTGTGTGTGTATCACCACCCCTGATTGTCATTCCGAGTGAATATGAAATTTATTTAACGTCATCTGTTAGTTTTCTTCTTGGGCGTCCATCTGATCTCGGATTATTTCTGTACAGACATAGCGCCGGTGTCGTAATTGGTATTGCTGCATTCTTAAAAACGCACAAACATGTTTGCCCCCTCAGTGCATTTAGCGCAAGGTATTGTTCCTAAAATATGTTTGATTGTATCGTTTCTCACTCATTCTCGGTTGGATAAACTGACAGCTTCACTACGACATCTAATTTCACAACGGTGATTTTATTTGTTTGAGTTTTTAATAGTGTTTAAGTGTGGCACTTGCGAGCATTTTGGTCAGAACGGCCTCTCTTAACTCCATGTAGTTTTTGCTTCAAAACTGTTTATCCTAAAATCTTTGCAGCATAGAGCAACCATTACAATACATATTTATGGAAATGAAAAATTTAGCTTCGACACAAAAAAATGTTAAAATAACAAGTAAGATAGAAATTGGGTCTCAATCAAATAGATGATCGATAGCCGAGCCAGGATGCGCTCGGTTGCTTGGTATGCTGTGATGTGGTGAAATCTGAGGTGGTCAGTGAGCGTCACTCTGCCCCCTGGTGCTTCCGTTTTCACTTAGTAAGCTCCCAGCATCGGACATTCGGAAAAGACGTAATGATGGTTTTGCAGCAAGTACTGAGGTAATGGTTTTATATATATCGTCGCTGTGGTAGCAAGTGAAGCGCCTACTTGCACGACCACAGTGAAAGGGGTACTATAATCTTATAAACAGTAACTAATAAACAGATTGTAAATTCCCTGGTACAGAAACAGCTGGAATCCCAGTGTGTGTTTCCGAGTCCCACTGTGGGGTAAACAAGACTGCTTTCCCAGCAAGCATCTCGTAGGAGTCGACTAAATGGGGAATTCTTTTAAAGTGGGAATGCATCTGCCAGAGAGATAAGGACTGCATACAATTAAGTCAGACCTGTGAAACGGATGTGCCCGCAACATTCAGGTTCTGGTGCATGTCTAAAGTGAAGAGGTTGACGAACAAATAAAACTTTCCGCTAGAGTTTACTGTCGGTGAACGTAAAGAAGAAGAAAGAGTTGAATAATGTTAAGTTTGGTTCCGGCTTAAATTATTTTGACTTCCACAAAAGTTCCTAGGTCTATGAGAAACTCCCTTGCAATTTGCATCATTTGTTAAAATAAATAGACATACCTCATTTGTTAACTCTAAAATATCTACATTATTATTATTATGTACCCTACAAGCGACGAGAGCCCCTCCCCCCCCCCCTCGAATTGCGTGTTCCAGTTCCAGCACTATCTTCGTGCATCAGAAACGCTTGAAAAAATATTTCGCCGTTGCTCTCTCTCTCTCTCTCTCTCTCTCTCTCTCTCTCTCCCTCCCCTGTTTTACCCCACCAGGACATCACACAAGCGATAAACACCCGGTGATACAAAGTGCCACCATGTGGATGAGGATCACCCGTGGAGAGGTCCCAGAAACCCCTTTCAGCCATTAGGCTATATTTATGGCCCGGCTATATTCATGGCCTCAGGCAAAAGCCAAGATGGGGCTTTAAATAACGAAAAATTGCATCCCACACGGGAACTACAAGTTATGTATTTCGTCTTTGCCTTTCTTTCTCTCTCTTCACAGCTGTCCAATTTTTCAAAGTTGTCTGCAAAATTTTGTTAAAAATAATTACCACTGCAAATTTATTACGTTCAAATAAATCTTTACAAAATCTGTTTTGTGTGTGTGTGTGTGTGTGGGTATTTTTCAAATTCATAAAAAAAAAAAAAAAAAAAAAAAAAAAAAATTAGATCACCCATGTTTGCGACATAAAACATTTCCTATAACGTTAGTCTCGGAAACATCTAACTAGTTTGTTGCTTATTTATGGATTTTCCAGATTTCCCGATGTCTAAAATTTCACATAAATTAAAGCGAGGTGTCACCAAGGGATATCATGTCGTTTGCTTGCATTTTTCATATTATTTTTGTGTTTAAACAGCCATAACTTCAACAATAACAACTACCACCATTACCACAACAACAGCTACAGTGAATCACCGCTATCATACCCAGGAAAATGATTAAACTAACAACTATAATGCTACCACAACCAATTTAGCTACCTCTGCTGCTGCTACTATTATTATTACTCCTACTATTACTTCCCCTTCTACTACTATTATTACTAATGCTGCTGCTACTATTATTATTACTCCTACTATTACTTCCCCTCCTACTACTATTATTACTACTGCTGCTGCTGCCACTACTGCTGCTGCTACTACTGCTACAACAACAACAACAACAACTACTACTACTACTACAATACTACTACTACGGCTGCTGCGGCTAATGCGGCTACTACTGCTGCTGCTGCTACTACTACTACTACTGCTGCTGCTACTACAACAACTACTACTGCTGCTGCTGCTACTACTACTACTGCTGCTGCTACTACTGCTGCTACTACTACTACTACTACTACTACTACTACTACTACTACTACTACTACTACTACTACTACTACTACTACTACTACTACTACTACTACTACTACTAGTACTCCTACTACTACTACTATAAATACTACGACTGCTACTACAACTACCATCACCATTCTAAGAATAACTAATGACTATCATTATCATCACCGCAACCTACAAGTGCTGAATAAGCTAACATTGATAATCTCACCGCCAAGGAATCTCTTATTTGCCCAGTGGTCATCCTGTACTCACCTCGACTCGTAAGTCTGGCCATCCGTGCCGCACACTTCTCGTGCCTTGACCCCACGACACAGGTACATGCTGGGGCAGGTGCACAACGGAAGTCCCTGAAATAACATCGTCCATTGTTTGTGAATACAGATGTCCTGTAAGAGTTCCCACAAGTGTATGCTTGCAAGTCTGATTGTTCGCATCTGGGTAAGTGTTTATTTCTCTTAGAGAACCTTAGTTGGTGTTATAGCACCAGAGGGTTCAGAGAAAGAAACGAAGAGAATAAGTAAAGGAAAATAAAAGAAGAAGAACAGGAGGAGAAGAGGAGGAAAAATGTGTGAGAAAAAGGAAACAAAAAGAGGAAAAGAAATATAGGAGAATAAGTAGAGGAGAAGTAAAGAATAAGAGAAAAGGAGGAAAAGAAGGAGAAAAAGAGAAGAAAACGAGAAGAACAAGGGAAGAAGAAGACGAGAAGAGAAGAAAATGGGATGAAAAGAAAAAGAAGATAAGAAGAAGAGGAGGAGGAGGAGAAGGAGATTAAGAAGAAGAAGAAGAAGAAAAAGAAGAAGAAGAAGAAGAAGAAGGAAAAGGAAGAAGAAGAAGAAGAAAAAGGAAAAGAAATAGAAGAAGAAGAAAAAGAAGAAGAAAAAAAAAAAGAAGAAGAAGGAGAAGAAGAAGAAGAAGGAGAAGAAGAAGAAGAAGAAGAAGAAGAAGAAGAAGAAGAAGAAGAAGAAGAAGAAGAAGAAGAAGAAGAAGAACGAGCGAATGAACAAACTAACGAACGAACTTTATTTTCAAAGGGTTACAAATTAGGCACGCAGGCCTGTCTTATATTCGGCCCTTTCTAACTTCCATCTTTCACACAGCAGTTGTATTTCATCAATGAAACATGTTATATTTTTGTAATGATATGCATATTATGGATATGAAGAAGAAGAAGAAGAAGAAGAAGAAGAAGAAGAAGAAGAAGAAGAAGAAGAAGAAGAAGAAGAAGAAGAAGAAGAAGAAAAATAAGAAGAAGGAGGAGAAGAAGAAGAAGAAGAAGAAGAAGAAGAAGAAGAAGAAGAAGAAGAAGAAGAAGAAGAAGACGAAGAAGAAGAAGAAGAAGAAGAAGAAGAAGAAGAAGAAGAAGAAGAAGAAGAAGAAGAAGAAGAAGAAGAAGAAGAAGAAGAAGAAGAAGAAGAAGAAAAATAAGAAGAAGGAGGAGGAGAAGAAGAAGAAGAAGAAGAAGAGAAGAAGAAGAAGAAGAAGAAGAAGAAGAAGAAGAAGAAGAAGAAGAAGAAGAAGAAGAAGAAGAAAAAGCAGAAGAAGAAAAAGAAAAAGAAGGAGAAGAAAAAAGAAGAAGAAGAAGAAGAAGAAGAAGAAGAAAAAGAAGAAGAAGAAGAAGAAGAAAAAGAAGAAAAAGAAGAAAAAGAAGGAGAAGAAGAAGAAGAAGAAGAAGAAGAAGAAGAAGAAGAAGAAGAAGAAGAAGAAGAAGAAGAAGAAGAAGAAGAAGAAGAAGAAGAAGAAGAAGAAAAAGAAGAAAAAGAAGAAGAAGAAGAAGAAACGATTAGAAGAAGGCGAGGACGAAAGCGAGGAGGAAACATAAAAGAATGACTGGAGCAGATGTAAGAAAAATTAATGGAAACAGACAAGGAAAGTTAGGATTGTTTAAAACACGGGAGGGGGGGGGGGGGAAGAAAGGAGGGAGGGCGGGAGCGGGAGCGGGAGAGAGAGGGGGGCTTTGATAATACGCTTTGCATTTCATAAAGTCTAATTAAATGCAAATATGTCTTTCAAAAACAGCCACTACAATCATCATACTTTCTATCCTAGTCCGGTGCTGACTTTTACAACAGATACATCCTCACTGACATCTGTGGGTCGAAGGACCCTTTCACAGGGGTCGCCAAGACCATCGGAAAGCACATATTCATTGAGATTATATAGTAGTAACGAAAACATTTGTATGTTTGGTGGTCGCTACAAAATGAGGAACTGTACGAATGGCTCGCCACAACACGATGAACTGTGAGAAAGGGATTAGGAAAGTTGAGAACCATTGCTTTAGTGGTTCCAGTTAAACATTTGCTCGGTGGTCGAGCCAGGATGCTCTCACTTCCTTAGTATGCTGTGTTATTGTGAAGTCTCAAGTTTGTCAGCCACTCCTTTATTTCATTTTTTCCCAGGTCTCATTCCTGGTGCTTCCATGTTCATGTAAACTCTCGCTGCCGGCGTCACTGAATTTATTCTCACCAGAAGGCCAAACTATTTCTCTATTTGTTTCTCAAAAAAGTTAAGGAACTGTTATGTCCCAATAGTTCTTGTAGTCTATTCATTTCTTGCATCTTATTTTCTGGCTTTGTTCGTGGGCTTTCTCAAACATCTCATTTCCCAGGTGTTTATTCCCCACGTGGGTTCAAAGGCGCCATTTTGGAGAAGACAAGAACAGACCAATCGCTTCATGACAAGCATATCGTAAAAGGCGACTAATTGTCCTTTAAAGTCCGTGTACATCTGACTGAGAGGGAACCAACAGCCTGTATACAAAAACAAAAAAATCTGCAGAACGGATGTGCACGCTAAACTCAAGTTCTGGAACAACCAACAATCTCTGCAGAAGTTTACAAGTAATTGAACCTAAGAAGAAGACAGGAGGTTAGTATGATGATATCATCAAATAAGAACTCACCTGCATGTTGACGACACAAACTTTCAGCTTGGGACATCTGACCTGATCACAGGCGTTCCCTGCAGACACACAGAACATGGAACGTGACATTCGTCTGGTGCATCGAAATAAACTCAAAGTTCAAATGATGTTTACTTACTTACTTATTCACACACTTCATTTCCCCCGCTCGCTCTCTTTATATATATATATATCATCATTTAACAATGATCTATCTATCATCATCATCAGGTGCCTTGCTAACATATATATATATATATATATAAATATATATATATATATATATATATATATATATATATATATATATATATATATATATATATATATATATATATATATATCATCATTTAACAATGATCTATCTATCATCATCATCAGGTGCCTTGCTAACTGGCGTGCGCGATCATGCCTCTCCACAATCTGCGATATCCTGCAGCATGTATCAGTTCGTGTGCCGACACACCTCCATGCCATGCAACAAGACTGTCAAGCATCTTCTCTATTTGACTTCCTCTATCCCTTCTTCCACAGATCTTTCCAGAGGGATCATGATGCATGGGCAACATATGGTCTCTACAATTACCCAGGCTTTGTGCTATGGAGAGAAGGAACTTTATCCCTGGCCTCAATCGGTCTCGGAAACTCAAGCGAGACATGAATGATACAGGTACTGAGGCGGACTCATGGGAACAAAATGCCATGGACCGTATTGTGTGAAAATATATTTAAGAAAGATATGATTGCAGAAAGGATGAAAGCTGAGCGTCTGAAAAGAAACGGATTAGACACAAATGTTGTTAAGAATGGTCCTGAAATCCCATGCTATCATTGTGGAAGACTTTTCTTGACACAGGTGGGTCTTGCTTGACACACTCGCCATCGCCATGGGCAGTCAGTCTCATGCCTCCCTCCTCATAGCGCAATATAACACTATCGTCTGGAAAGACGAAAAGGTGCCAATGACGTCACGCAATGATGACGTTTTGAAACAAGAACATATTTTTTAGCCTCTATAAAAATGTTTATGCAATTCACTGGTGGACGATTACTTTGTCGGCGACCTATCTCTTTATATATATACATACATATATATATATATATATATATATATATATATATATATATATATATATATATATATATATATATATATATATATATATATATATATATGAGAGCGGAAGTGACATAGCGGCTAGATGCTCACCCAAAGTCTGAAGGTCGCGGGTTCAAATTCACACAGGATCGGATTGTTTTTCTTTTAAAAAATGACCTTGACTTCATGAAGACCCAGCCTAACATATGAGCCAGGTAAAGTCCTCGGGAAGTAAAGGCGGGCGGCGTGATGCTGGTCATATCACCCAGTGTCGCCTTTTACAACATGCTCGCTAGTGGATCTATACCCATTTCTATTCCCCCCCCCCCCCCCAAGAGTCATTGAATCCACACGTGCTTTTCTGTGTGTTTCTTAGGACAGAGACGGAACAGGTGTAAAATTGTCCCAAGTGCAGTGACATCAACTCTTATTCAATATTTGTTTCTTTTTTTTTTAGGTACCAGTTATCATTATAATTATAGTTATTTTTATTACAGCAGAATTTGCATAGTTGTTTTATCAAATCTGTCGGTTTTATAGGGAGGGTAAAAGTGGTCGGTGATTATATGGACTTTACTCATTCGTAGAAAAATAGACATTTTTCTCCGAATTCCGCAGGAAAGTTATCACCACCACCACTACCAGCATGACCACAACCACCACCACCACCACCACTACTACTACTACTACTACTACTACTACTACTACTACTACTTCTACTACTACTACTACTACTACTACTACTACTACTACTACTACTACTACTACTACTACTACTACTACTACTACTGCTTGACTAATACTGCTAGACTACTACTGCTAGACTACTACTGCTAGACTACTACTACTATACTACTACTACTAGACTACTACTGCTAGACTACTACTACTAGACTACTACTACTAGACTACTACTGCTAGACTACTACTGCTAGACTACTACTACTACTAGACTACTACTGCTAGACTACTACTGCTAGACTACTACTGCTAGACTACTACTGCTAGACTACTACTGCTAGACTACTACTGCTAGACTACTACTGCTAGACTACTACTGCTAGACTACTACTGCTAGACTACTACTGCTAGACTACTATTGCTAGACTACTACTGCTAGACTATTACAATACTAGACTACTACTGCTAGACTACTACTGCTAGACTACTACTGCTAGACTACTACTGCTAGACTGCTATTGCTAGACTACTACTGCTAGACTACTACTGCTAGACTACTACTGCTAGACTACTACTGCTGGACTACTACTGCTAGACTACTACTGCTAGACTACTACTGCTAGACTACTACTGCTAGACTACTACTGCTAGACTACTACTGCTAGACTACTACTGCTAGATTACTACTGCTAGACTACTACTGCTAGACTACTACTGCTAGACTACTACTGCTAGACTACTACCGCTAGACTACTACTGCTAGACTACTACTACTAGACTACTACTACTAGATTAATATTACTACTAGACTTCTACTATTAGAGTACTGCTACTTCTACTACTACCACTACTACTACTACTAGACTACTACTACTGCTGCTTACCACTACTACTACTACTAGACTACTACTTGTAATGTTGTGAATTCCCGGGGAAACCCCAGAGAGTTCCCGATGGGGAGAAAAAGGTCGGAGGACCCGTGAGAGAAGAGAAAAACGGGAGAAGTGAGTCTCGTGTGTCTCATGGTAAACGAAGTGAGAGACACAAGAAAAGCATGAGACGTGAACGGAA